AGTGCTTCTGTTTTCATTACCCACAGCAGTCAGGGAGTGGGAAACTGTTGCAACTCATTGCCTTTCAATGGAAAACAAACTTCTTTTGGCCTGCCATCCTTTATTTTTCAAAGCTTTACACACATTCAAGGACCGAAGCTGGAGTTGCTTTCATTACCAAAAATGTAGTCAAAAAAGAGCTCCCCAGAAACGGCTTCTACCCTGTTCTAATTGTGAGACACTGGCATTCCTCTGATAAGCAACTACTCCAAGCTGTCCCACCAAGCCTCAGTATTGCAACACTTGAAGGGGCCCACTGAGAAAGCAAGTGTTTCACTACCCAAGAAGGCAACTCCCTGTTCAACAGCTATTAACTTGACGTTGAAGAGAACAGGGAAAATGAAGGAAAAGAAGTCAAATGTCAAATGAAATCACAGGGCATGGATGCATTCCTGAACACCAACGAGTGCTTTTCACCAAGGAGAAAACGGTATTTATAACAAAGGCAGCACTGAACCAGTGTGGAAAGGCTTCTGTCTATTAAAGTGAGCAAGCCTAAAAGTTCTCCTAAAGAGGTTCACAATGAGACAGAGTTTGCTCCCCAGGTCTAGTCAAGGTAGAAGGACAGATGGAGATGTGGTACCGATAATGATCAATACGAGATACTGTTGATAGTTAAATACTTCTTTATTGGACCTTTGCTGTAAGGTTCAACTGTAAGACAGATATCCTTCATTACTGCAGCAAGGCAAAATGTCAAATTATCTAAAACATAATGGACCAAATGATTCCCGAAAGCTCATTTGCAAGTCTTGAATCACTGACATAGCTATACCTCATTCTAACATGTAGACAGAGGAAGGATCTGTAATTTTCTTCCTATAAGTAACTCAGTTATAGCATCCATCCTCCACTCAGCCCTCTATGTCCTAGGAGGTGAGCACTAAAGAATGAGCACATGAGAGAAACAAGGGACTTGCCCAGAGTCACAAAGGTTATTAACATCAGATGTGAGATTTAAACCCAGGTACTCCAATCCTAAGGTGAGCAGTTATGCCACACTTCCTCCTCTCATTCCAAAACTGAAAAGAAAACACATATTTAAATGATGCTTTTGTCTCCTGAAATATCACTGATAAATTCTCATTCCAATTCACAGGGAAGATGATCTCACCATGTGCACTGCTATCTGACTTGGCTGTTTCTGCAGTGAGTAGAATGGCATCACTGGTAAACATCTTCAGGGTACCTACTCCCCTGCAGGAGGTCCTGGCAATGCAAAATACTGAGATGCTCTTCCCTTTCTAGGGGCTTCCCACACAGTTGAGAAGAAATGATATGTATGTAAAGTGGTAATGTAACAATACATTGTAACATATGTTACAGACACAATGAAAGAGAGAAAGCATGGTAACAACAATGATGATAACAATAACAATCTTAGCTGGGTTTACAAAACACTTTACAAATATTATCTCATTTCATCCCTTAACAACCCTCAGAGGTGCTGTTCTTATCCCCTTTTTACAAAAGAGGAAACTAAAACAGAGAGAAGTTAAGTGACTTGCTCAGGATCACCCAGCTAGTCAACGTCTGAGATGGGATTTGAAGTCAGATCTTGGTGATTCCACGTCCAGGGCTCTATCTGCTGTACCACCTAGTTGTCAAGGGGATGGAGGAGGCTGGAGGAGAGCATGGAAAAAGCATCAACAGAAAAAAGGAAACTCTCACTGCTAAGAGAATCTCCTCCCATCATTAGTAGGCAGTTCTTTTTCTCAGTTTTATTCTGCCTAAGATTTCAAATTCTTTAAGTTTAAATTTTGAAGCAGGGAATACTCACACAGCAGCAGCAGTTAAAGGCAAAAAAAGAAAGGAAAGAAGCAAATCAGAAATCAAAAGGAGAACTAGATTTCCCTTAACTTTGTCAAAGATAGATGACAGATGATGGACAGATGGACGGATATAGATAACTGAGATGTTTAAGATAGGGATAGCAATAGAGAACTGGTTGACAGAGATAGAGATAGATAGCTGATAGCAACAGAAAGAGATGAGAGAAATACGATAGAGATAGATGATAGAAATAGAGCATTTATTAAGTGCTTACTATGGGCCAGGAACTGAGTAACTGGTGTAACTGGTTTAGCTCTCACTACTCCATGTACCTTCACTCCCCCATTTCTGATTTTGATGAGGAAAAACACAAATTTCCAACTTCTCTGTAAGAGCTAAGGATAAAATGGAGTTTCCTTTTTCTTCAATAATTTAAAGGTTCCTAAGTGCCACGATGGGGCATTATCACCAACAAGACAGACCATAGCCCCTCTGGGACTTTGTAGATTATCTCTGTGAACCACTAACAACAACAAACCATTCTGGTCCTCTGACAGCAGTCATGCAGTCCACAGCCAGGCCCGTGCTGAGAGTACAACAAACACTTCTTAAGCACTGACTCAGAACTAGGCGTCCTGACCCTCCTTGAACTCTTTCTACCTTGAGAATGCCTGAGGTGGGATGTGGGCCCAGGCTCTTAACTTTGAGTGCAGCACTCCAAGCACCATGATACATGCTTCTCAACAGCCTCTAAAACTGGGGGATCAGACTGGCTGATCTCTAATTTACCATTTTAAATTCAAATTCATAGTTCAAAGGACCATGATCCATGCTCATATGGCCTATGAGTTATCTGTGCATGGAAAATGAAAAGAAAAAAATTAAATATCATTTTCAAAGAAGTATATTTAATTGAAGGCATCTTCTAAGTATACAAAAGAAGAAGAAGAAGAAGAAAAAGATCTTTCTCTGGGCCCAAAGCAGAGAATTCCCTCATTCGAAGCAAGCATGATTCATGATTTGGCTGGTGCAGTGTCATGCCAGTAATGATATCCCTTTAACCAGCCTGAGTAAATTGGTGAAAGTCTCTGCCCAGCCACCATGAATGCACTCCTTTCACCAACACTAGACACTTCCTATCCTGTCTCCCTCCCAGGGCCTAAATGGCCACCAGAATTCTGGAAAGGGTGGAGCAGGGATCTCATTCATTTCCTATTCAAATAGCTGACAAGCAGAAGGAAGCATTTTTGCTTGACTTTAGGAATCAGTGACCATGTAAGAGAGATGTTAAATTCTCCAACACAGGAAACAAGGGAATGCAGTCCTAACAATAACAATAAAACAATACGGAGGATCTATGATTTCAGTAGCATGAGGAACTCTCCACCAGAACAAGTCACCATCCCTCTATGACACTGTAGATAGGGAGTAGCTTAACTCAAGACAGAAACTGAGTTATATACCGAGGACCATAGAACCAGGGTCATATTATATCTATCAGAAGCAGAATTTGAACCCAAGCCGTCCTCACCCCAAGCCCAGCATTCTGTTCACTGTGCCATTTTCATTATATATAACAATAGTTCAAAGGAAATAAGGCATAGTAGATGGGGAGATCAATCTGGACTCAGAAGTCCCGAGTTCAAATCCTGCCTACAACACAGCTGTGTGTCCCTGGGTAAGTCATTTAACCTCTTATAATCAGTTTCCTCATCTATCAAACAGAGATAATAAAAGCACCTACCTCCCAGGATTGTAGTGAGGATCAAATGAGATAATACACGTAAAGCACTTTGTCAACTTTAAAATGCTAAATGTTAGTTATGATGATGACGATGGTGATGGTGGTGGTAGTGTCAAATGTAATAATATCCCTTTAACTAGCTTGAGGAAATTGGTGAAGGTCTCTGCCCGGCACATCATGAATGGTTACTAGCATGAAACACTTCAAACACTGTCTCCTTCCCAGGGCCTAACTAAGCAGTGATAACAATGATGACAATGATTAGAAGCCAGTCTTCCTGACTCCTCGTCCAGCTCTGCTTCATCTAGACAAAACGACAGAATCCTGGAAGATCAACTACGCCTACTGCATATAGACATGTGTATAATGTCAAATCTGTAAGCTAGCAAACTCAATAAAAGTTCCCTGTCTCCTTAAGGAGCAGCTGTAGGTACCATTAGGAGAAAGCAGTCGTATCAATTAGTGGCTAACACTACTACCTAGGGACACAGCAACCTCCCTGCCCACTCACAGAGCAAAAACGCCACGGTATCTTGTTCAATTACATAAAGTCTTCCTTTTGTTTACTTCACTCCTGGGAGTAGCAGTTTGACAAGTGTCTTTCTTTACTCTCTCCAACCCAACCTGATTCTCAAACAGTGATTCACAAGAGATGAAAGATATCCTGAACTAGATCAGAATCATTGCGATTTCATCTGTTGAAATCTATACTGTGCTTGCTTGATTCTGTAGAGAACTGTCACCTCATTCCTTCAGTTTTTTCCCATGTTTTTACTTGTGATGCCATATATTATAGTGTGTGAGTACAGAGAGTACATCTAGATGAGTCAGGGGAAGAAAAAAAAAAAGAACACAAGGCCATACCTCCAAATGTCTAACATTAGATGATCAAAGTTCTGGAAATGAGAACTAAACATAGGGTGTCCCCAAAGGCTTAGTGTAATTTTAATCTACTAATGCTTAACATATCTCTAAGACTTTTCAGAATACTCTGTATATTTGGTTCATTGGGTTACAGAAGGAATCATAATCCATTACTTAAGATATAGCAGACCACGGTGTTTATGTAAACAGGAAGGGAGGGTACATTAAGGGATAAAGATCCCCAGCAACTTACAAACATGCAATTTTAGAAGTTCCTATATATACTTCATTGACTGGCCACCCACTATTTACAGCTTCGCAAAAGTCTGACCAAAATCCAAGCAACATGTTTTTCGTGTACTCTCAGAAATCTACGGCTGTGTCATGCATTTCCATGACTTTTGGATTCTGTAAATACATTGAGATTAAATCTTCTAAGTTTGTCAATATGCAGTGAATCTGTTTTGGTTAAAGCAGTGAATTATTTCCTTCTCTGCTTCTTTTCAGCCACCTCATTTATTTTATCCCAAAGAGAAGCCACCCCATTTGAAGATTTTATATAAAAGCCAGCTAAACTCACCTTCCCCATCAGGACTCATATTTTCATAAGAATCCCACCGGATCAACGGGTCTGCAGTGTTGTAATCCACAACCACTCCATGGTCATTCTGTAAATGTTCAGACCCTTGGATAGAGGACAAAGACAAAATCAGGTTGTCAAAAGTGAAGTTCTGAGAGAGGCAAATATTTCCAGTGGGCTTACCACTCTAAAGAGTAGAAGTGAACTGATGAGTAAGAACCAAGTAGCTTCGCATCAATGTTACCAGAGAGAGTAGGGCACAATTTTTGAGACAGTCAAAGGAAAAACATGACAAACCCCAAAGGTTAGTGCTGTGGCAGAGAGGTTTTTAAATTCTGTATTTTTTTTATTATTGTTGTTTTTTGGGGGAGGGAGGTGTTTGCTTCTTGTTCATTTGTTTGGTGTTTTTGGTTTTTTTTCATAGATCACATTTAGAGCCAGAAGGGAACTTGGTATCAACCTATTCATTTTACAATTTAGGCTCACAAAGGTTGTGACTTGTCTAAAGTCAAATATCCTAAGTGACAGAACCAGGGTTTTAACCAAATCTTTTAACTTCAAATCCATTCTACCTCTTTGAAATTACCTCTTTAAAATTTAAATTTAAAATTTAAAAAAATTACCTCTACCTTTTTAAAATGCCAAAGAAATTTTTATTTTATGATTCAGAGTTCTGGTTAACCTAAATGATCTCTGAAGTCTTCTTCCAAATCAGATTTTGTGATACTAAAAAAAGAGGAGTGCAGGGAAGAATGGGGGTTATTAATACTAATAGAAAATAATTTTCTATTTAATAAAACTCACTTATATGTGAATAAAACATTCACATATAAGTATACTCTGATTCTGAAGGTATGAAATTCCTTCTGGGAAAGGAAGATTATTTTTAGTTTTCACTTTAAAATAAACATAACTATTTCTTACATTAAATGCTTACCTTGTATTTTCTCAGGGGTAGCAGAAAAGACTAATTCAATCTTCCCATAATCAGGAAAACGGTCATCTGAAATGAAAGAACAACATAAATGCATTCAGAAATTAAGAAGTGAAAGCAGAGAGAAGAAAACTTAATTTTTATCTATTCTGTGCTCTACTTGTATTTCAAAAAGGAAATGTTTTCCATTACAGAAAGTTGTCTCCTCTCCATTCCTACCTGCTAATTTCAATCAGTTCTCCCAAAGGAAATCATCCACTGTTCTGCAACTTGGGATCTTAGAGAGAGGTCTGTAGCACTGAGAAGTTAAATGACTTGCTGATGGTCATCAATCAGTATTTATCAAACATGTGATTTGAACCCAGGTGTTCCTGAAACCTAGACCAGACTTCTATTCACTATCACACACTGCCTCTCTTTAAAAAAGATATATATTATTTTTAAAAGTAAAGAATAAATATGAAATCATCTTTCTTTTAAAATGTTTGGTGATTTCTTTCCTTTTCATTTTTTTTGGGGGGGGGTGAGGCAATTGTGGTTAAGTGACTTGTCCAGAGTCACACAGCTAGTAAATGTGAAGTGTCCGGTCTGAAGCCAAAAAGTTTAGTGATTTCTTTCTTTTGTAGGCAGCATTTGACCAGATTAAAAATCAGCACGTCATCTACAGCACATAGACATTGAAACCTTAGGGGCATGGAGAATGAACCAAGTGAGCACAGGGACTAGCAATTCCTATTTGTATACACTTACTGTCAAACACCTAGTGTACACACCAGAGAACTCAGAATTCTACCTTTGTTGGCACTGTCCAGATCTTCCTTCCTAAACATCAGTCCATATCCCTGAATGGCTCCTGTGTGAAACTGCAGGCGGAAAATGACATCACGGGTAGCAGATCGATACTTTTTGTGGTAACATTTCAACTGTGTCAAGGAGAGAAAAACAGAAGAGAGCACCTCCATCAGCAGGTTTCTACTGGAGGATCATTTCATTATTTGTAAACTGCATGACTGTTCAAGATGAGAGAAACTCCCAGGCATTTAAATAAAGAGTTGGATCAACTGTTTCCAGTGATTTCATGTGAATACCAGGCAGTTCAAAATAAAATGTTGCCTTCTATACGTTGGGGAAAAAAACGTCACTAAGCATAACCTCAACTATTTTTTAAAAATCTTCTAATAGTTACTGTCATGCCATAATTGAATTATAAGATTTTTCCTAAGAACTTTTAATGCTTTCCCCCAATTATAGGTTCATAGAATCATCTGTTGGAAATATCATCTAGTCCATGATTTTACGTATAATTTTACATTTAAGGCAAGTCTCACCCAAGTCATTCTAAACAAAAATTTACTGTATTTAAACCATACCCAAAGCTTGATAATCCTTTCCAAAATTAAAAAAAAACCCACAAAACTTTGTCTAGAAAATGCGTAACTCTTTCATGTTTCAATTTCAACCCATTTCCATTTATTCTCAATGGATATCTATTCTGAAAAAAATAAAACTTCATCATTCTTTTTTGTACTGTCATCTTTATTTTTAAAATTTTTTTTTGATTTATCAATAATCACTTCCATAAGCTTTTGAGTTTAAAATTTTTCTCCCCCTCCCTCTCCAAGACAGCACACAATCTGATACAGGCTTTACATATACATTCCTATTAAACATATTTTCACATGAGTCATGTTGTAAAGAAGAATTAGAACCAATAGGAGAAACCACAAGAAAGAGGAAACAAAACAGAAGAAAAAAGTATCAAACAGTATACTTCTATCTGCATTCAAACTCTATAGTTCTTTCTTTGGATGTGGATAGCATTTTCCATCATGAGACTTTTGAAGATGTCTTAGATCTTTGCATTGCTAAAAGGAGCTAAGTTTATCAATATTAGTCATCGCACAACATGGCTGTTACTGTGTACAATGTTCTTCTGGTTCTGCTCACTTCACTCAGCATCAGTCCATACAAGTCTTTCCAGGTTTTTCTGAAGTCTGCCTGCTCATCATTTCTTATAGCACAGTAGTATTCCATTACATTCACATACTACATTTTGTTCAGCCATTCCCCAATTGATAGGCATCCTCTCAATTTCCAATTCTTTGCTACCCCAAACAGAACTACTCCACCAACAATGCATTAGTGTTCCAATTTTCCCACATCTTCTCCAACATTTATCATTTTCCTGTTTTGTCATGTTGGCCAATCTGATAGGTCTGATGTGGTACCTCAGAGTTGTTTTGATTTGCATTTCTCTAATCAATAGTGATTTAGAGCATTTTTTTCATATGACTATAGATGGCTTTAATTTCCTCATCTGGGAACTGCCGGTTCATATCCTTTGACCATTTCTCAATTGGGGAATGACTTGTATTCTTATAAATTTGACTTAGTTCTCTATATGTTTTAGAAATGAGACCCTTATCAGAGACACTGGTTGTAAAAATTCTTTCCCAGTTTTCTGCTTACCTCCATCATGATCTTGGTTGCATTGGCTTTGTTTGTGAAAAATCTTTTTAATTTAATATAATCAAAATTATCTATTTTTCATTTTATAATGTTCTCTATCTCCTGTTTGGTCATAAATTGTTCTATTCTCCATAAATCTGATAAGTAAACTATTCCTTGCTCTCCCAGTTTGCTTATAGTATCAGCCTTTATACCTAAATCATGAACCCATTTTGACTTTATTTTGGTATATGGTGTGAGAATTTGGTTTATGCCTAGTTTCTGCCATACTCTTTTCCAGTTTTCCCAAAAGTTTTTGTCAAATAGTGAGTTCTTATTCCAGAAGCTGGGGTCTTTACGTTTATCATATAGTAGATTAGTATAGTCATTGACCACTGTATCTTGCATATTTAACCTATTCCACTGATCTACCACTCTATTTCTTAGCCAGTACCAAGCAGTTTTGATGATTGCTGCTTTATAATACAATATAAGATCTGGGATGGTTAGGCCACCTTCCCCTGCATTTCTTTTCATTAGTTCCCTTGATATTCTGGACCTTTTGTTTTTCTAAATGAATCTTGTTATTATTTTTTCTAGTTCTATAAAATATTTTTTTGGTATTTTGATTGATATGGCACTGAATAAGTAAATTAGCTTAGGTAGAATTGTCATTTTTATCATATTAGCTCAGCCTACCCATGAACAACTTATGTTTTTCCAATTATTTAGATCTACTGTATTTGTGTGAAAAGTGTTTTGTAATTGTGTTCATATAGTTCCTGGGTTTGTTTTGGTAGGTAGACTCCTAAATATTTTATAATGTCTACAGTAACTTTAAATGGGATTTCTCTTTCTTTCTCTTGCTGTTGGGTTTTGTTGGTAATGGCAGGGGAGGGGTAGTCTTGGAAGAAAGAAAGAGGCTAAAAAGGTTTGGGGGGGAAAAAGAATTACTGAAGCCATTTTTTTAAAAATGCACATGAGAAAACAGAAGGAAATACAGACAAGTAGGGTTATATGCTGAAAGTTGTGTGTGTGTGTGTGTGTATGTGAGTGAATGTTATATTTTGAATTCACCATGCACTTGAAAGGAAAAACAGGGAACACATAATACATTGTCATAGTTTCATATGCAATTCTGTTTTTTTTTTCTGTTCTTTGCTTATGGAAATGTTCATTTTATTTGGTGTTTAAGTTCAGGGAAAAAAATCCCAATAAAAATGTGTTTTTGAAAAATTCAGTTTCCATGCATCCCTTGAGAAATATTTGAAGTTAAAAAACTGAAGCTCACTAACGGTAAGATATTTGATTTATGTTGACAAAACACTCAATATGGGTGTGTATAAAATTCCACATGACAGTAATAGAGTAGACATTGCCTTGGGTGATTGGCTTCAAGACCATGGATAGAGATGCACCATGCCAACTCTAAGGGTGGGGCACTTACTTTCAGACAAAGTCCCCAGCAGACAAGGGACTTTTATGAGATTATTTAAAGAATGGGTAAAAAATTTTAAAGCTTGGCAAATGCAAGTCATGAACACCCAGGAAAAAAAAATCAACACAGAAAAACTCCAAACAAGCATAGTAATTTTACAATTACACAGAAAATCCTATTAATTCAGGGCTCTACTGAGGAATCTGTGACCATCACAAAGGGCTTAGACTGGAACTTACCTTTGAGGATGGGCACTGTCCCAATATTTCTATTTCTGCTAATAACACCACCACTCTCCTAGTCAATCAAGCTTTAGATTGCAAAGTCATCTATAGCTTTTCCTTGATTATTCATATTCCTTAGCCAATCACCACATGTTGTCAGTTCTTCCTAAGAAATGACTCTTGTACCTAACAATACTGCCACCATCTTTAGTCCAGACCATCATTATTTCAAGATGGCTGCCTCCTAATTGGCTTCTCTGATACTTAACCAAGTAGTCCCCAGTCTATTACTGTCTCTTACTCTGGCTTTCATCTCAGCTTTTTTGTGGACAGGATGGCATTTCATAATTCTATAACCATGTGTCCAATCCTCTATTCATGACAGTCTCTTTCCTCTCTGCCTATCTAAATACCATCTTCCCTGACCCCGTTTTCTATCAAATTCCATTTCTTCCGGTCTTCTGCAGTATCTCTCATGCAGCAACAATTCTCTTATTCTGAATGCTAATGATCTTGACTTTTAAGACATTCATTTCTGCTCAATTCAGTATTTCCTTGTGAAATGTCATTTAAACTTTCATAAGCACAATCTTTCCAGGTTGACTACGCCCTTCTACAGGACAAGGACTGAGCCCTATATTTCTTTTCTTGGGCAATTTGCATGTAGTGGGCACCATGCAATAAAGCTTGAATTACAAGGCATGAAGAATAAAAGAATGAAGCAAATGTTAAAGTGACCTGCCTTAGGACTATATTCCAAGTATTCCAAGCATTTAAAAGTTCTGTAGGCAACAGCCAAAAAGGAACAAACTGGAAACAGCTACTAACCTTTTACTTAATTTCAGGGACTTTCTTTAAAGATGGTAAACAAGGATAATGATCCCTGAAGATGACTGGGTGAACTATACATTCTTCCCTTATTATTCCTTTGGCTATGGTATTTTGACTTGTTCAGGTTTTTTTTTTTTCCACAGGCTACCTAGAAGGCTTTCACAAAGACTTTTTGACCCTTTGAGCTTTCTAAATATCTAAAACAATATTTTAAAGGTTTTGTCATCTGATGTTGGAAGCAAAAATGTCCACCAAGAATTCTGTCAAATAAACTTGTAGAAATTAGCATACACCTTGGTTCGATGTGGAGCCCTCACCTCTCTAAATGCCTGTTAGAGCACCCAGCAAAGTGCAGGAACCATTTAATAATAATTTTTAAAAAAAGAGGGGCAGCTAGGTGGCACAGTGGGTAGAGCTCCAGCCTTGGAGTCAAGAGGACGTGAGTTCACATCCAATCTCAGACACATGACACTTACTAGATGTGTGACCCTGGGCAAGTCAAAGTCACTTAACCCTGACTGCCTCACCAAAAAGCAAAAAGCAAAAAAAAACAAAAACAAACAAACAACAACAACAACAACAAACGACTACTTGGCCAAAGGAAATTGACAAGTGGTAGTTAGGAAGAAGTGTTATCAAAATGATTTCCTTTGCAAAATAAAACAAAACCAACACATTTCCAAATTTTCACCAAAGAATTATACATGAAAGATCGGAAGGGTCAGGATTGTTTTTGGGAAGTGGAAGGAAAAAGCATAGTACTTGCTTCATTTTATAAAATGCCAGGACAGGACAGAACTTCTGAACTAGGATCTGTGACCATAAGAGACTAGTCTAAAAATTCAAAGTGAAGAGAAACAAAGAATGAGGAAGAAAAAAGAGAATGTAGAATACCTGGTCCTGAATTTGAATTCACAGAGCTGACGTTTGAGTTTTAGGTTCCACCACCTGTACAAGCTTACATAAGTCATTTCATCTTTCA